GCACGACCCTCTCCCAGGGCGGGATCCACACCGACTCGGCGCAACAGGAGTTCCCGGCGTCGATCCTCCTTTGTAGGGCCACCAATTGCGTGTCCTGCACGAGCTTTGACCTGTCGACGGCCCCGCTAAACGAATGCCTCACCCCCAACCCCATCTTCTCCTTCGTGTCGGTCGCCATCGTGCAGTCTAGCAATGAGGGCCTGCCATTCGAGACTACCGTTGGCACTCCGGGCTGTAGCGAGCTCCTCCAGATCCCAACGGTCAACGAATGCTTCAACATCAATAACGGTGGCTCCGAACCGTTCGAGACATTTGCTCTTCTCACCTGATCTATGGTAGGCATAGCATATCTTCGGGATCCTGAAAACGTTCTTTTCTGACGGCATCAAAGTTATAGGGTCACCGTCATCGGGAGATCGTGGAAAAGGGGAGTACTCGATGTTTGGTATTGTTCGCAGGACGGCGGGGATCACAGCGTGTAAAGTTGTATATGGGTTTTCACTGCTGAAATGTATTGTTTGGGGATAACAGTGCTTTTCTGACGCAATTTGGAATTTCGGAGCGGTTGTTGAGGGTAATGGGCAATGCTAACGTCGTCCAAAGAGCGTTTATGCGCGACAAGTAGCTGCACGTGCGTACGACAATAGTGGTTCCCAGCATGCAGGGCTACTAAGAATATTAGAGCAACTTCCCGTCGACGGACGTTATTGAACTCAGTGTTCAAGGATCGAGTCGCAAACATACCCGTGGCTAAATTGACGCCTTCCAAAAAACCACTGATTCATATCCCGTCATACGCCAAACGCGCTGTTTGCTGAAGAGTATTACATCTCCAATGATTGTGACTCGAAGACAACTCATCTACCCTGTGATTCCTGTCGTCCCGCAAACGATACCGAACGCCGGGTCCTTTCCCTCTCCACAATCTCCCGGATTCAGTGCCCCTTCGATGTCGAGATCGCCAGGGAATGGCGGCACAAAATTCCAAAAGATATGTGATCAGCAGCCGCCTTCCTGCGAGAAAGTTCGTCAACCTCAGGGACAAACAGATATCTTGAACGGTCTTCACGCACCCAAAACCCAGGCCAGCTCAGCTAGCAGTGATGACCGCATAGGCCTCGAAGAAGGCACCGCTGAGGTTGTAGCATACTCCCACCGACGGAAGCGCGACGACCTCAGGACACTGCCTCGGTCCAACGACGACTTCGTACGGCGTAGGAGACGGCGCGATTTGTTGGATGATGGCCGACACGAATGGATTGTTCTGGGTGCATTCGTTGGCTTGGATCCCGCCCAGGTTCGTGTACGAGTACGTCCCGCTGCAGTCGCTGCCTTCGTATAGGTAGAGGTACGCCGCGATCGCCGGGCTAAGAGTCGCGTCTGAGTGCAGGCCGCCCCCTACGCGCGTAGTGTTTGATATGGAAGAGATGTCGAGGGTGGCGATGGGGAAGGACGTAGGGGGCGTGGGCGGTGCAGGGGTAGCCTGGACAGACGTGCCGACGAAGGCGAGGGCGATGGTGGCGAGAGCAGCGGCGTAGAACATGGTTTGAACAAATTGGTCGAGCTGAGTTCTGGGCGGTGTGTTATGCTCCTCACTTACCGGCAAATGTCGCCTTTTATTCAGCAAAATTGTTCAGCACACTGGCAGCCTCACCCTCCAACACGACCAGCGGAGCCGTGACCGTGCGGACTCGCGTGTCGATAAGCTGATCCGTCTCAGCAACATTTCAGTATAGCCCAGATTGAACAAACCTCTCGGCCTCCGTGGACTCGAACGAGCGTGAGCATTCGGCCGGACCGCCAAGCCCAACGATAGGTAGAGCATTTCGCGGAAGCACATCCTCTAATGGCCTCATGCTCAGGGGGAATGCGTCGAGCACCGCCATAGTAACTGAATAAAGAGAAGACGATGCAAATCGTTTGTCAAGGCGTGATCAGCCGGGCAGGGCGTCCTGGACCCGTCGCCTGCTTTTGCCGTACTTCTGGCCGTTCGTGGAACCTCTGCATCTGTCATGAGTATGCGCCGAGCGGGAAGCCGATATCAGTGCCTTTGTTATAGAGGATGTGCTCACCCGGGAAAAACATCAGCTCCTCGTCCTTGACACAGTCGAGTACTCATTCAATCGCTCGAGCTACCTTGGGGCTAAGTAAACCATGGGAACACAAGAAACTAGCGTTCCCAGTATGCACACGTGTAAGTTATGGGCAATAGGCAACGTTCACCAGTCCGTGCGCGAGTTCGTGGAGTCCAGAGCGAAGATTGTCAATAATTGAATGCACGTGGCGAACCGCTCCTCCGGTCTAGCATTACCATTGATGCATTCATGTAGCGGAGCGAGAGCTAGACGCGGAGATTACGCTGTACGTGAGATGAGGAACTCAGGTACGCGTTCTCACGTACCTTCCACGGTCGACGTCCAGGCTAGAGTTCGTCAAGAAAGGGTTACATGCTTCAGCGCAGGTGCGCTGCCCTCCTGAATCGTGATGCCGGCATATCTCTGGGACAGCATAGGCGTATCGCCTTTGCAAGACATATGAGGATTCAAGGCCGAGCAGAGTCCGACCTACCTGGATGCTTCGCAGAGTGCCGTGCTCCTCGGGAGACGTTCTATGGCACGTTCGCAGAGGTGAGAACATGGCATGACAGACTACTGGGCTGACATCGGCATCGGACTGGTGGCAGTCCCAGATAGCATTGCATGGACAGGACACGTCGCGCAGCCTGTCATGATTCAGTCGGGGGAGGAGTCACAGCAACGTACTGTTTGCCCCCAGCCACGCTCACCCCCTCCTCCACCCTCTGCTCCATCCTCTCTCCAAGCCCATCGAGCAGCCGCTTCAGCTCCTCCGCCTCGTCAACGAGGAGCTTTATGCTCGCTTCCCGCGATTCCTGCGACTCGCTGCCACCTTCGGCCTTGAAGGTACTGTCCGCACCCTGAGGGACAGTCTCCTTCAGGCTAGTCTGCGCGACGGCCTCTTGAACGACCTGGGACCATGTCTTTCCCTCCTGCCGGAGGAGCGTGGCCAGCTCATCTTTGACTTGCCTGCACACGCCGACGCCACCGTATCCGAACGCGGTGTAGAGCTGGACGGCAGACGCACCCGCACGCGCAAAGTCGAGGGCGTCCGCGCCTGATGAGATCCCTCCGCAGCCAATGAGCGGTACAGATGCTGGCAGCATGCCGCGCAGTGTGCGGAGAGTAGCGAGAGCGTACGGCTTCAACGGCGGCCCTGAGAGTCCGCCCTGCTCGACTTTGTTGGCTAGAGCGGAACATCAGCCACTGGGCGCATATCAATCGACCAGCATGGGACATACGGTCTGAGATGCCTGAAGGTCTCCGGATTGTCGTGTTGCTGACAATTACGCCGTCAACACCGCTGCTGGCACGGACCGCCGCGGCGATGTCTGCAACTTCTGACTCGTCCAAGTCCGGTGCGATTTTGAGCAAGAGCTTTGGTCGATGCTTGTTGGAGGACGCGGCCGTCACCTCATCGCGAGCAGCAACCACCCCGGCCAAAAGCTCTTCGAGCAATGTACGGCTTTGCATCCCGCTGTAGAAGACGAGGTGGGGATCGGCCATTCACCAATAAGGTAAAAATCACGTACCGAAGTCCGGGAGTATTCGGGCTAGACACATTGGCAACTAGCGCGTCAGCGTACGGACCGAAGGTGCGCACTCCAGTGACAAAGTCCACAATCGAATCAGGAGGGGATGATTTGTTCTTTCCGAGGTTCACGGCGAGTAGCTTTCCAGCATGAAGGGATGCACGCTCGGCGCCGTGTAGAGGGTCTTCGCTCTCTGACTCTATGGAATACGGGTAGACGGGAGGGAGACGTGCGCGCAAGCGGGAAAGCACCGCTACATGGCCGTCTGAGGGGAACCCGTACCGGTTGATGAGGGCTGAGTCGTTTGGTAGGTGGAAGACGCGCGGTTTCGGGTTGCCGGGTTGAGGCTTGGGCGTTACGCTCCCGATTTCGACCCAGGAGAAGCCAAGGTTAAATAGCCCTGCACGGCTTGGAATGTTACAAGGAGCTGGAGCACCATTCATGCACTACTGACCATCTATTGCCTCACCGTTCTTGTCGAAACCTGCAGCAAGACCCACAGGACTTGACAGTTCCTCACCCCAGAGCTAGCATCGCTCGCTTTGTCAGTTATTCCCCGCAGACAAGTGCTGAAGGCACGTACCTCGACTTTCAAGACCTCATCGTCAGGTACCGGATCTCTAGGGGCAAGGCCAGACCCGAGTACCCTAACAGCAAGACGATGGCCTGTCTCTGGGTCGAGGGTATACCGGATGACGGGAGTGACAATGTATTTGTGCAATGCCGCACGGCAGTCAGAGTAGTAGACTGCAAAGAGTCCAGTAGAGACTACTAGGAGTGATGCATAAGCAGCTGTGCGAGCGAATGAACCAGCTTGTTGTGTCTGCTGTGAGGACGTCGAAACAGCACGTCGCGCTATGAACGTCGAGGATAGAGGCTTGCGAGAGATTGTCCTTGCAGCGGTCAGACGGTGCATTGCCGAGAACAGTCAGAGCAAGCCGTAGGTTTTATCACGTCTTCGTTTGCGCGGATAATCCTGCAGACGAGAGGAACTTGGCCAGAGTGAAATGTGGGGAAAGTCAAGCTGGGCTCAGGCCCGCCCGCGTCACCGTCTACTGTGGCTGCAGGACGTCGAGAAGAGACGGCAAAAATAAAGCTCTCTGTCGGGGAGTCGAACCCCGCTTTCGCGCGGTCATGTTGAATGACAGGCGCGTGTACTAACCGATATACTAACAGAGAGTTGTCAATTGAAGAAAAATAACCCACCATACATGCATGCCCCATTTACACGTCGATAGCCTCAAGTCCCAATACACACCGCCCATACTTGACGCGTTGTGCTGCTGCTCATCGACATTCGTGACATCTACTGCTGAATACAAGGCTGAAAGGCACTCTCGTACACCGCGTGCTACAACTCCATGTCTTCAGGCATGGGGAGGAAAAAAGGAAGTGACGAGAGTGGGATTCGAACCCACGCCCTTTCGGACCAGATGCCAATCGGATGATTGCCTTAGTCTGGCGCCTTAGACCGCTCGGCCATCTCGCCCTGCTACGACCTCTATACACATATATACAGCCATTCCTTTCTTCAGTCACTCCCCTGCTTCGCACGAGTACTGAGTCCTTTGACCAACTTCGACCATCTCTCCTGTTATCACTTTGCTCATGCCCGGCACGCAGGCTGCCCTCCTCAATCGCCAGGGAAATGTTTTGTCAAACATTCTGGGGTAAATCGACACATTCAAGCATATGATGCTACCCTGATGTGCAGAGAGCAATGACTGCCGCCCTCGTTACCATGACTTGGAGCATGGCATCTGAACCTCTACCTGTGCAACGATAGCGGCATGGTCCAGGCTGCCCAAAGTGCGGCATACGCGTTTTCATTCGGTTGTACTGATGTTAAAGCCCCACTCAGGCTAACACCCTATGGCCGGCCGTGTGTCAACATCCGCGTCCAGTAGCTGGCGGCCGGGGATCAGCTGAAGGAGCTCCTCGGATCGAGGAGCCATTTGGGGCCTGCTTGACCAATCATCGACGATGGCGGCGGGTTCGGGCGTGTACCACATGCATTGGCTCCTCGTCGTCGCTCTCTGGACAGCTTACGCAGCGAAAATAGGCAATCTAACTCCCTCAACTGCGGGCATCACAACAAAACAGCAGCCTTGACGATTGCCGTCTATGCAAACTACGCGACCACATGACCGTGTTTTCACTGCGTTTCCCTCCGGGAGCGGTGCTGATGTACCTCTGTTGGTGCGATCGAACTGCGTCCGCGACGACCTGCATCATCCTCCGCGCTGCTACATCAGCGCTGTTGCTGCCTCAATTCTCACGGTCGCAGACCATACCGGTCAGTGTTGTGGACTCCTGGATACGTCTCCAAGGTCGGGATCAGGTCCCCGTGGCCAAGTGCATATATAACATGCGCCTCTCGTCTCTGTCTCCCCATTCTCTCTCGTCCCTTCTTCCAATCTTCATTTCCTACGAGCTGTGCTCGACCTCGTCTTGTGTCTTCAATTTTTCGTCACTTCAGGCACTTTTCACCCTTCTCTTTTCATCTTCATATAAACAACATGGTCAAGTTCTCCACTGGGTTGGTTGTGGCTCTCACGGCTATCGCTGTGAACGCTGTACCGTTCGAGAAGCGTATCGACCAAACCATCTCGGCCTCCACTCAGAAATGGGTGGCTGCTTGTGTACGCATCAACCTCTTTGCATTCATGAGCCTCGCTGACTTCGACTCTTCAACCAGAACGCGGCCGGCGGAGGCGAGAAGTGCAGTGACATCTCCGTGACTGCCTTCAGCACCCTTCTCGCCGCGGCCGGGCCCTGCGACCAGCAGAACTCGGCGGACGCCATGATTGACCTTGCCAAGCAGCTCAACAACAACGCCGACATGATCAAGTTTGCTCAAATCTTCGCCCAGCAGCCTCGTAACACGGTAAGCCACATCTGCAACGCTTGTGCTCTGACCGTGCCGTTCAATTGATTTGCCCTCTCCACAGCCCACCAGCGAGTCTGTGCCGTACTGCCAACAGGCGCCAAAGAACGCGGAGCTCACCGGCTTGTTCCAATGCCAGTTCCAGGGCGCAAAGGCGGACACCTTTGTCGGCGGCGTCGCAGTCGGCGGTGCGGGTACTATTCCCTTCGGCCTCAGCTCTCCGGTCTCTCCTCCCGGGTCCTGCCCTGCAAACCCATCAGGACCTGTTCCTGATGGCCAACAGCTCACCGACATCACTCAGGACCCAGGATTGGCTAACATCAAGAGTGGCTCTGGCTCTGCGGCGCCCCCCGCATCGTCTGCGCCAGCGGCGTCATCTGCGGCACCTGCTTCATCGGTCGCTCCCCCAGCGAGCACGGCCACTTGCGCGCCCAAGACGAGGAAGCGCGGTGCCATGAAGAAGCGTATTGCACAGGACACCGTCGCCGCTGCAACCCCCTGGGAGGACGCCTGCGTACGTTGTCTCGTAACTTAGAGTATGGTCGACCGTGACTAATGATAATCATATATAGACCAAGGCGGGTGGCCAGGACAAGTGCAACCCGATCGCTGTCACCGCCTTCGGCACGCTCCTCGCTGCGGCAGATCCATGTGCCCAGCAGGACTCTGCGGACGCGATGATTGACCTCGCCAAGCAGCTCAACAACGACCCGGATATGATCAGGCTTGCACAGATCTTCGCGCAGCAGCCCAGGAACACTGTACGTATCTCTCCCTACTACGTACTCATCGACTGCGACTCATCCTATCCTGCCATCTAGCCGACCTCGCAGGCCGTGCAGTACTGCCAGAAGGCCCCGAGGAACGCCGAGCTCCAGGGCCTCTTCCAGTGCCAGTTCCAAAGTGCTTCCCAGGACACCTTCGTTGGCGGCGTCAAGGTTGGCAGCCCTGGTACCATCCCCTTCGGTCTCAGCTCGCCCGTCAGCCCTGCGGGTTCGTGCCCTGCCAACCCCAGCGGTCCCATCCCCGACGGCCAGCAGCTCGTCGACATCACGCAGCAGCCCCGTGCCAGCGGTTCCGCCCCGTCCGGTAGCTCTGCTGCGCCCCCTGCGTCGGGCTCTTCTGCTGCGGGTGGCGACGACTCCGAAGACGGCGATGCCGCGGATTGCGCGTGAACTTGAACGATCCCGATTCTTTGACCATATTCTTGGAGATGATCAGTGGCCACATGGTTCTGCGCTGGTCGCTGTGAGGAGCGGTGGTTTCCACACGTTTGTTGCCTACGCCGCTGATGTTGATGACGATGACGAGTTGGATATGAGGTTGTGAGGTTGGTTGTTATGTGACGAGTACCAGAGATGTCTACGTAGTGCCCAACAGAGCTGCGTTGTATCATACCACCATACCGCGAGAATATTATCCTTGGTGACTCCGGGCATTTCGAGGTATATTCGAGAAGTACACATTCTCAACGGGTTTGTGCCACTGGTACATATTCTTATGAAGTAGCCTCAAGCCCACGCTCTCGTTCAAAAGGAACCGTACCAACCGAGCGAGTTAGGTACGACAGTATGACCATTGGTTACTGCCTCTGCAAGCTCAGGACGGACGCAGCAAACCAGTGCCAATGGGTCAGCTGCAGTCTTGAGTTACTTTAGCAACATTCATTACACAAGTCTAAGGCTATGACCATTCAAGTCTATACGGAGGGCGAGTACCTTGCCAAGCAAGAGCTACTGACGTGCTCCAACTAGATCTTCGCAATACTAGTCTCATTGGCGTGGGTAGTCGGTGCAAGCGCACAGCCATGATGCCATAACGCCAAAAGCCCAGCGGAAGCGCTACTCGTGATCATCGATATAGTCGGATAGATCCCGTACGCCTAGCCTTGGGCCCCTAGGATCTCTTCTGCTTGATCGCTCTTCGCATTCAACGTGGACGGAAGTCGGCGACGGCCCACCAGCCATGGAGACAGCTTGTAAGGTATACACGAAACTGATGCTCCAACGCGGACATGGATACCCACTCTGGGAGCCTGAACCGAACGAAGCGGGCGAGGTGCTTATCGGGGACGTGGGATACGTACTCGATGGAGGGTTCTACCGCCTGTTCAACGCGACGTTGGCCGCGGATCACCCAGTGAACGCACGATATGGTGTTCCCGATGGCTATCAACCGTTCACGTATCCAGAAGCGTTGCTCCATCGTCGACCGCGTATTCTCGAGCCGAAGCCTCTTTGCAGCAAGAACGTTGTCGCGTTCAGTGTTGAGGCATCTGCGTGAGTATCATCGATCTACTCGAAGTGTCAGGAGTTGTGTTAATGTGCTGCATCTAGTGATTTGGGATTCAGCAACCCGGGCGCTAGCGGCGGCGTGCGCTTCAAGTGTTCCGACGAGCAAGCAGCCATACTGGTACTCAAACGACCGGGAAACCGCGAGGTTCTCCACCCATGCCGTGACCTCACCCAGTACATCCTGTCCAATCACCAGAGCTGGTACACATTCGCGCGCGACGTGTTCCGGCTCGACATCGCAGAGGACGACATCATCTTCGTATCCGGATCGATCAAGACGGCGGAATGGGCTCTCGCGGCAGCGACTCACCGGGCGCGGGAAGGCGAAGTGTCGTTCGGTGGCGAATTCGGGCCTCTGGCGAAAGCGACATTTTCCGTGCCGACGACACGGGAGATGTCGATGTCACTAGAGCATCGTACGGGCCCTCATTCCTCGGCCTTGGTGGCTGGAAACGAAGAACCTACTTATGATCAATGCGTCTTTCTGCACTACTATAAGCTGAAGAGGCGGAAGATTCTCGCACCAAAGGTCATCAGGGCAGCTGGAGGACGTTTGCCAAGTCCTCCTTGTTCTCCGAGGAGCTCTCCGGACACGGAGGTTCGCGAAGGAGGGCAGCCGGGTCCCTTGCGCTCGTCAGAAATAGAGCCTCTTACAGAGGGACAGCACCCAAAAACTCCGGCTACCTCGGACACTCTGAATAACTCTCCAGTTCTCGAGGCCATCTCGGCTGACTCAGTTATAAGTTCGCCATCTCCAGACGCGGATGGTGGGATATCACCGGTGGTTGAGAAGATACCGTCCTGGAACAATGTATGCATCCGTTATAACGATCTGCATCTTGTCCGATTGATTTAGTGATAGTACCAGCCTAAGGATCCCCATGATGACCTGCTCGATTACATCCTCGCGGTAAGCAACGAGCGTCCTGTACAGATCTGTATACTCACCAGCACCTCAGCGAAGCGGGCCACATACTAGTTGCGCAATTGCGTGTGACCAAGATCTGGGTGCCGTCCAACCTGTATGATTGCATAGCGTCACGGCCAAGTTGACGATATGAGGATACTCACCGTCAGTGATAGGATCTCGACGCATTCCTGCCGGAGGATATCTCTGCGCTCCTTGAGAGCATAAGGCCCGAAGTATCTGTAACGCACGACTCAGGTAACGTCTACTTGCCTTGGCGTTGCGTCAGAATATTACTTGCTGATTGTAGGATAGTCGGGACGCTTTCTCACCACTTAGCAAACCCGAACGCCTTGTCGCCGAAAACGCAGTTCTTTTCGCCGCCTGCGAGACCATATACC